ATCATCTAATAGAATTTTGAAGTCGTATCTAGATGCCAGTTTGACTGGGGACTTGAATATAATCAATTTAAGTAAATAGATGCCAGTTTTATCTTTCATGAAAATGATCTAAATTTTAAAAATAAAAAAAGAAACTTCCTTTAAACAATGTAGAGCATTGTCTCAACTTTGAATGCTTTGGTTAATAATAATACAACTGTAGAAAAAACTGGCAGTGATTTTCTCAAGTGAAACAAGTAGAAACTAGAAATGCAGGATAAAATGTCAGAAAATCAAGTAGAAAAAAGATAATAATAAGACATACTGAAGCGAAACAAGAGAGAAGTGTCTGATGAAAGAATATTGGTCACATTTGGAGCAGTTTATAAGTACTTTTTAATCATAATTTACTAAATACGAAGTAAGTATGTAAAAGAAGTTTTGTTCTAATTTAGATAAAATATGCTTATAATTGATTTTAATCATGATGGTAAACAGGGCCAAAAGCAAATTACGATATTCCCTTTTTACCGTCCTCCCACAGAAGCGCCGGCTCTAGAGTAGTTGATTCCGATACCCAAATTTTGATTTTCCGATCAAGTATCCAACATGAAACCTCCGGGAAATTCCGCCGACGGAGGAACACCACCGTCGTTCCAGAACCAACTTCAACTCAAAGGGACTGGGCAGCCACTGCATGCCGCCGGCGGGAGAAGAACACTGCCGTCGACGTGGCAGAGTCAACTTCGAATCCAAGAGCCTCGCCAACCTCCTTTTACGGTCAACGACGAACCACGCATTATCAGGGAACCATCATTGCCACTATACTCTGCCGGCGGAAGAACAGTGTCACCGTCCTCGCACAATCAACTTCAACACCAAAGGCCTCCTCAACGTCCCCTCAGAGTCAACCAAGAATCCCACATTATCAAGAAACCAACGTCGTCTCAGAAGCAGCCTCAACTCCGACGGCCTCCCCAACCTCCTCTTAGAATCGGCCAAGAATCTAACGTTTTCAGGGAACCTTCACTGCCACTGCATGCCGCCGATGGAAGAACACCATCGTCGTTGTGGCAGGGTCATCAACTTCAAATACAAGAGCCTCGCCAACCTCCTCTTAGGGTCAGCAACGAATCACTCGTTATCAGGGAACCATCACTGACACTGAACTCCGCCGGCGGAAGAACAATGTCACCGTCCTTGCATAATCAACCTCAACAGCAAAGACCTCATCAACATCCCCTCAGAGTCAACCAAGAATCCCACACTATCAAGAAAGCATCTTCGTCTCAGAACGAGCCTCAACTCCGACGGCCTCCCCAACCTCCTCTTAGAATCGGAAAAGAATCCAACATTATCAAGGAGTCATCACTGTCATTACTTGCCGCGGGCTCCGCTCAGCAAAGTCCTTACCGTATGCCGGAGGTGGCCAGAAGACAGCAGAAGGAACCAGTGATAATCCAAGAAGAAGAAATCAAAATCATTCGTTGTGACCCCAAAGATTACGCAAACTTAGTCCAGCGCCTTACCGGGCTAGAGTGCTCCGAGACGGACGGAGACGTTTTGCCGGCGGTGAACGTGGCTTCCATAGAAAAGACAAGCCCAAGAAACAAAGACAAACGGCGCAGGACTGAAGGTGACACGATGACCGAATTGGAAGGATTGGAAGTGGGGCAGTTCCGGGTCAAGGAGTCATCACTGTCATTACTTGCCGCGGGCTCCGCTCAGCAAAGTCCTTACCGTATGCCGGAGCGGGCTCCGCTCAGCAAAGTCCTTACCGGATGCCGGAGGTGGCCAGAAGACAGCAGAAGGAACCAGTGATAATCCAAGAAGAAGAAATTCAAATCATTCGTTGTGACCCCAAAGATTACGCAAACTTAGTCCAGCGCCTTACCGGGCTAGAGTGCTCCGAGACGGACGGAGACGTTTTGCCGGCGGCGAACGTGGCTTCCATAGAAAAGACAAGCCAAGAAACAAAGACAAACTGCGCAGGACTGAAGGTGACACGATGACCGAATTGGAAGGATTGGAAGTGGGGCAGTTCCGGGGATTATCATCACTCACTCCGACAACATTAACATCAATAACACCGGAACGTCCGGTGGTCCCAAAAACGCAGCCGTTCGTGCATGATCTGTTTCGGTCTAACAATAGCTTCAATGGAAGCTCATCAGGTGGAGTCGTCGATCATGGCGTTGCCATTGGGACAATCAGCACTAACGTTGCCAACAGAGGCAGCACATTATTCTCTCTCACACATCCCAAACACAGTGCCGCTCATGGATGAAAATAACTTATTAGGAAGCTCATCAGTATTGCCAGCGTCCAGCATGAGTTCGTCATCGGGCATATCATCACCGGTGGCACCAACTTTAGCATCAAATAAGATACCGCTCATGCATGATATGAGTCCATTATGGTTGGAAAATAGCTTCTTGGGAAGCCGCTCGGGGTTGCAGCCAGCGAGCATGGCATCATCGCTGGATATACCATCATCGACGTCACCAAGTTTTGCAATGGCAACAGCATACGGTTTATCTCAGGTCCCAAACACGGTGCCGCTCACAAACAATGTGAGACCATTCGTGTCGGAAGATAGCTTCCTGGGAAGCTCATCATCTGCGTTGCCATCGTCGAGCATGGTGTCGTCATCAGGAATATCACCGGTGACACCAATTGTAGCGCCAGATACGACACCGTTCATGCATGATGTGAGCTCGCTATGGTTGGAAAATAGCTTCCTGGGAAGCTCATCGGGATTAATGCCACCAAGCATGGTGTCGCCGCTGGATACATCATTATCACCGGCAGCACCATATGATTTCTCGCAGGTCCCAAACACAGTACCGGTCATGGACAATGTGAGCCCATTTATGTCGGAAAACATCTTATTGGGAAGTTCGTCCGGATTACAGTCACCGAGCATGGTGTCGCAATCAGAAATATTATCACCAGTGACGCAGATCTTAGCTTCAAACATGGTGACGACCATGCATAATCTGAGCCCATTATGGTCGGAAAATAGCTTATTGGGATGCCCATCGAGCATAGTGTCGCCACCGGGGCTATCATCACCGGCGTTACCAACTTTAGCACCAGTCTTACCAGACTTGATCCCAGAAACAGAGCCATTCATGCAGGATTTGGGCCCTCTATGGTCAGATGAAGATGAGGAATTCATGCAGGATTTGCGCCGGTTATGGTCAGAAGAAGATGACTTCTTTGGAAGCCCATCGAGACTTCAGCCGTCGAGCATAGCGTCGCCGCCGGGAATATCATCATCAGCGTCACCAAGTTTAGCTACTGTCTTACCAGACACCGTCCCTGAAACAGAGCCATTCATGCAGGATACGGACCCGTTATGGTCAGAAGGAGATGGCTTCTTGGTAAGCCCATCGAGACTTCAGCCGTCGAGCATAGTGTCGCCGTGGGGAATATCAGCACCGACGTTACCAACTTTAGCACCTGTTTTTCCAGAGTCAGTCCCAGAAACAGAGCCATTAACGCAGGATTTGATGAGCCCATTGTGGTCAGAAAGCTTCTTGGGAAGCCCATCGAGTCTGCAGCCGTCGAGCATAATTTCACCACCGGGAATATCATCGCCGCCGTCGCCAACTTTAACGCCGATAGTTCCACAGACGGTCCCGGGAACGGAGACGTTCATGCAGGATTTGAGCCTGCTTTGGTCAAAAAATAACTTCACAGGATGGCCATCGGCAAACACAGCGTCCCCCTCATCTCCTCCCGCGTATCCGGAGGTGCTGGATCCTTGGAACTAGGAAATTCGGAACCATTTTTTAATATTATTTGATAGGCAGAGAATTTAATATTCTTCACTCACTGACAGTATATATACGAACCCTCTTCACTCACTGCCTGTCTCTAATGTATATACACAAGTCAGAATATCCCGCATTGTTCTGTAATTCTCAATTCTTTCTATTTGCTTATTTCTATCTATCTTTCTTTCCTTCTTTGATCTTTGTTTTAAGAATGTTTTTTATTAGTTGGTAATTTTCTGGCAACAAAAGTTCATTGATATTTTTCTTTATCGGTTCTTTGGTTTTAACTTGTGTTTTTAGCAAAGCTGTTTTGTTTATAAATATTTGATTGTGCTCCCTCCTCCTTCATTTATGTTCACGAGGCAGATGCATTTGTATATTAACGGGTGACAGAAGAGGTAAATTTATTTTTGCATGAAATTATACCCCATATTATTATACTTAGTATAAGCGCTATTTTTTTTTTTGGTCAGTAGTATAAGCGCTAATTAAGGAGTTAATATTTATTCTATATATAAGACCTATTTTACAAATTTATCAATCTTCTTTTAGATTAATCCTATTGATATTTCCCCGATAATAATTAAGTAAGAGAGGAAAGGAGGGAATTAAGAAAGATACTTAGGGTGTTTAAAAAAAATCATATTAACTAATTTAATTAATATCTTTAATCTATTTAAGATAGTTAATTAGATCTTATATTAAGTATTGAAGGATCAATTAGGAGTTAGCATCCCATTAAAATGAAAAATGCTGCAAGTCTATATGAATGGCAAATATAATGACGAATTGACGACTGATTTTGCTTTACAGATTATGTAATGTGTGTGTGTGTGTGTGTGTGTGTGTCCATGATTCAGTTACTCTTATGTACAAAACAGTAATTTAATTGATTTGGCATGAGTTTGATATGTCAGAAGAATAAAAAGAAAAGAAATAGTCATGCAAGTTGAGTCATTGATGATAATTTCGTATTTTATATTTTTCTCGCCTTATTATATTTCACAAAGGAAAAATTCTCAAAGAAAGGAAAGTGATAGCCCATTAACCTTAACATGTGTAGCCCAACAATTCAAGTATTTGAAAAATGGGCTTTGCATAATTATAGCCCAAAAGTCCCTGTTGTTTCAACTCCAAGAAGAAAATAAAACAAAAATTTTCAGAAATGTATATATTTGGTTAGATTATTGCTGTTCAAGTATGGAATGCAGCTCCCTGTATCAGACAGACCAAAAAATGGAAGCCAATAAAAGCTATGCAGAAACATGCTTTTAACTAGAATTATCAGAATCAAAAGTACTAACAAAGTTGCTGAGATGCTACATAAATTCTCCAAAAGGTTGAATAATAACTCAATGCAAAAACCCAAAGGAAAAAGAAAGAAAGAAGAAAAGAAATCTGTCATATTATATTTACAGATTTATAGTTCAAATCAGCACCTATTTGACCTCGAATTGCAATGCAGCATCTTCAGCTTGATGGTTGTATAAGAATGAATGCAAGAATTTACCACTACTTTGATGAGCTTCAAAAGTGTCATGTTCTTGCCATGGACTTGCATGCAGGCCCAATCAAAGTGCCAACCCTCTCACCTTGAATGGCTCTTGAGATGTTACCTGGTTTGTTTAGGTTGAAGACGACAACTGCACCAAAAAAGGTAGAGATGAAGAAAAGGAAAGCTCATCAACACAGAACATTTCAGTTTTAATAACTTTAGAAGCCAATAAGTTTTCAATCCGGGGGGGGGGGATTATATATATATAATAATAATTAATTCATGACTTCACGTGGATGCCTGTTCACTAGACTTACCAGGAATATTGTTTTCCTGGCACAAAGTGATGGCCGTCAGGTCCATTACCGACAGATCTTTCGAAGTTACCTCCTGGTATGTAAGCGTGTCCAGAAGACGCGCATTTGGATTACGTCTTGGATCAGCATCATACACGCCATCAACATTTGTTGCCTTGAGCACAACCTCAGCATTAACTGAGTGAATGATGGAACAAAAATAAGTAGACTGCAGCAAAATAAGATTAAGAACAGAAATTATAGGATAGCAGAGGGATCTCAGCAAATTTAAGAGTCTGTGTCTTTATGAAGGGTATCTGGATGAATCCACAACCAACAGCCCAACTAATAGAACCTGATTGGTATATGTGAAACTTCACTATAAAATATTTACTCACTTTCTGCACATCGGAGTGCTGCAGCAGTATCAGTGGTAAAAAATGGATTTCCAGTTCCAGCAGCAAAAATGACAACCCTTCCTTTTTCCAAATGCCTCACAGCCCTTCTACGTATGTATGGTTCTGCGACCTCTGACATTCGAAATGCAGTCTGCACCCTTGTGGGAATGCCAATACTCTCCATTGTCGCTTGAAGAAATATTGCATTCATGACAGTTGCCAACATCCTATTGAATAGAATGAATACAATAAGTAAAATATAATAGCTATTCACAATATATAACCAAAATGCCAACTGGCTGAGAAAATTGTACATTAGAACTGAGAACTTCGACTAAGTAAAATAAAGACTGATCCAAACACAGTATTGTAGGTCATAACCAGAGTGTTATTTCGGTATGTTGAACAACTAAGACATAAGAACAGTCCACTTGGTTCATGGGATAAATTGAGGACTGATGTTGATATACAATCACAAGCTCTGACACAAGATCAAATATGTCTAACCAATTAAAGAGAAATTACCCAATATAATCAGCCGATGAGCGGTCCAGGCCACTAGATCCAGCCCAGGAGGATCCACGAAAGATGTTACCCCCACCTACTACTAGTGCAACCTGAAACATTAACCTCAAATAGTTATCTAACTCTGAAAATGCTTTATGTTGCAATGATCATTACAACAACAACAAGCCTTATCCCACTAGGTGGGCGATTATGTTGCAATGATCATTAATTTAAAAAAAAAAAAAATCATCTCCTTCTCCAGCAGAATGTTTAATCATCGGCATAATACAGTTATAGTAATAGTTTCCTAAAATTTCTGCAAATTCCACTCATAATTATCCGAAGTATATTTAAAGACACAAGGACGCAGTAGCAAAACAAGCTAGTAGAAGAAATATGCATTATATAATCACCTCAATGCCAAGGCGAGTCACAGCAGCAACCTCCCTTGCAATGGACATGGTAACCTAGGTTCCAAGAAACACAAAATTATACCTCAAAAACAAACCCAAGAACAACATAAGATAGTGTCACTTTATTTCTCTGTTATCTTTCTGGCTGAGTGGACAGATGTAGTTAATTTGCTTCCTCACCTTAGGGTCAATGTTCTGCGAGTGATCTCCGGCAAGAGCCTCTCCACTTACTTTGAGCAAAACCCTTCTCCATTTGTATGATGGCTTACTAGATTCGTCCATTGACAGTCCAAAGGGAGACATAGATGACATTTCAGGCCGCATGCTGACAATTTTATTGGCCATAATAATTGTTAAGTAAAAGTAATTGATAATAGACAGATGGCCAAATACAAGCGCAAGGAAGAACAGTAGGGCACCCACAATATCATTCAAGCAAAGCATCAGAATATCAATGAAGAGGAAAAGAATGCAAATCGAAAAATTTGCGAGCACGAAAAGATAAAATCAGTTATGAAGTAAGTTAATTGTATCTGAAGAATCACTTGACCCAAAAAAAGAAAAAAGAAAAAAGAAGTTATCTTCATAAATGTTTGGAAATGATCTCTTTCCTTTAAAGTAGTCATTTTGGAATCCGAACATTCTTCGCCATTGAAGTTTCACTTTCACCGACATTTGGGTATGAAAAAATTGGGTGGACAGATGGCAAAACAGGATCAAAATGTTTACATGAGAAAGATATGGTCGCAACACAAAAGCATTTATCCAACTAAAGTACAAGTGAAGGACTAGAATGTAAGCTCAACAATCGAGAGAAACAAGAATTCAGGATGAGCAGACAAAAAGAGAGGAAAATAAGTAAAAGGCATACCTAGAATTGAAGGAGTCAGGGGAAGAACCCACGTCAGAAAAAGAAGAGTGAATGAGGAGCTTGTTGAGATAAGAGGAAGAATTAGGGAGTCTGAAAGAGCGGAGATAAGGGCAGAGAGGAGAGAGAGAGGAGAGGATGAAGATGAACGGAGAGAGAGAGTTGAATTGGAAGAGATGAGAGGGATGGAGATAGCCATCATTCACACTCACTGCTTCTTCTCTCTGATGCCGCCCACTCCTCCTCCTTCGAGTCCCAATTCCTTTCGCTTCTGGCATAACGCCTTGCCGCTCTGGATAAATTTCATTTCATTCTTTTTCTTTTTTTAACTTTTCTGTTCTCTTTTTCAAATAAATAATACTCCTCCGATCCTTATTATAAGACCCAATTTGACTTTTTATTTGGTCCTAATTATAAGACCCAATCCATTTTCTCTTTTATATTTATGCATTTTTTTCCAAGATAATCCTTATAATAATGATAGTTTTAACCAATATACTTAATTAGCAAGGATATTTTAGGAATAACAACACTTATTTATTATAAATAACCAACTTAACTTACTTCCTTAATCTTCTCAAATAAGTCAATTGGGTCTTATAATTAGGACCGGAGGAGTATTAGATTTGAAATTTTAAGAAATACAATTTCTCTGGATTGTGGACCCCAGTTTATAAGACCGTCCTATCTTAAAAAAAAAAAAAATCCCTCGCTAGCGCCAACGAGACGGCAAAATACTGAAATGGAAAACTTAGTGATAACGAGTTTTAGATATTTTCTTCAGTAGTCGCTACTCACCAACCATATCACAAGTATACATATTAAAAATGCAGAAAAATTTATAAAAATATGTAATAAAAATTATCATTATTTTTTTTTCATAAATATAAGGATATTCTATTTTTCCTTTATTTAAATTATCCAGCCCATATCACGTGTTAAATAAGCTAAACCATCATGAACGTTGTGGGCCTATTCCTGGAAGAACCAAAGTCCAATTTCCTCCGCAGTTTGGAATTGGTTGGATACACAAAGCCCGACGTTATAGCCCAACGTCGCAAATTAGGACTCGTGCGTAGCTATGCCAAATGACAGACCCCACGAAATATATTCATTGATTTTGATTTTTTTCCTTTTTTTTCAATTAGTAAGGATTTTTTTTTTCACATTGGAAATCTCTTAAATGGAAGAAACCATTTCTCGAAAAAGGACATTCTATTAAGAAACACTGTGCAAAAAACACCAATGTGTAATACTGTAATGCAATACACAAGGAAAGGTGTCTAATTTAGAGGCATAAACAATGTTGAAACACAACATAATAACCTATGACCCAAAAGTAATTTCATTTCTTTTTTTCTTTTTAAATCTCTTCTCTAATGTGAATTAGTAATGTAATATTCACATCCCACAAAAAAAATGTAGAAAAATCTTTCTGCTAAGAAGTGAATGGGAAAAGGGCTCATAAATTTGAGAGCAAGCAAAAAGAACTTGGTAAATGAGATAATCACTATATTTCTAAAGCCTGACAGGCAATCCAAAGTTGTGAAACGTCTTTATAATTCCATCACAACTAGCTGTCACAATTGATAAACCCCAAGGATCCATAGGACATAGCTTCTCCTGATGATGGCTATCATAAGCATCTTCTTCTGCAGAAGGTGAATTCCACGTAGGAAGCTTCTCTTCAGGCCACGTCACAGAACCTCTACACGTATGATCAATGGAAAACCAATTGCTGTGAGAAAAACATTCTCCTTTATCTTTAAGCATTTGGGGTTGTAAGTCTGAAGAACAGTGAGCTAAACCAGTGGCCATTTGGTCTGTGTTCATGCCTGACCAAGGTACTGCTACAACAACACCTTCAGAGAAAAAGTATTCACAAAATCTAGTAGTGGATTTTTTGCGTTTAGGTGATGAGTTTTTTAAGTCACTTGAGTTCCAAATATACACATGAGAATCATCTCCAACTGAAATTATGTGTTTTCCACTTGATGTAAAAGAACCAGACGTCTGACTTCCTGATCTGGAAGGACCTGTTACAACCAACAAGAACAAGTTTATGAAATTAGTAAAAGCAAAGTCAAAAATTAGTACAATCTTACTAATGACTTAAATCTCAAGTAGTATATTTACCTCTGTATTTCTGGACAACATCAATCCCTTCCAATAAGCAAAATTTGGAATCTTCTGATGTGATCAAAACTCTTTCATGTTTCTCTTGGCAAAACTGCAGCAAAATAAGGTACTATGATGTTAACAAATGAAGCACAAGTTGTCACCATTGTCATTAGAATATTAAGGTTAAGACCTGAATGCCACTGATTTTATTGCCCCTTGATCTCTTCTTTCCATTAATAACCTGTGCCTCCAGTCTGCAATGTTGATCTAAACCAATAAAAATCTTAGTTATTTTTTCCCCTCTATTGAAGGGTTTAGGACTAGAGGATCCACAAGTGCATACCTGAAGTAACATAAAGGCGGCAAGTGCCTGAAATGGAGCCAACTGCAAATCCCTGTGTAAAATAAACAGTTTAAAAGTTCATTAGATTAGGGCTACGTTAGGTTTCACAGAATCATGAAAAGATTAATCCTCCTAGTCTTACTTTCCCATCTGGCTTGTAACTTATGGCAGTTATCACATCGTGTATGTCTGTCCAGTCAACAACCCTCTTTTCATGTAATCCCCATATTCTGACTTTGCCATCAATGGACCCGCTGATGAAGTAATTTTCATCAACTGGATTGACTTGAATGCATGTCACTGCTTCCATTCACACCAGAGACACAATCAGAATTGCACTCACAGGATATGTTTCAGAACTTAAATTTGTGTTTAGATATGAACCAATTAGCATGGAATGGTGTGTTGTTGAGAAATAATCTTACCATAATCATTGTGACAGAAAGCACTTAAGCATTGATCACATCCAATTTGCCACAAACGGACGGTTTTATCCATGGAAGATGAAAGAAGAATCTGCAACCAGGTGGTTTAATTAGGACAGTTTTGAAAACTAATGCAGAAATAGGTTCGATAGGAAAAATCACATGAATGAAAAATAGGTAACTCACTTTTGAATTATTAGACCATGCCAAGTCCAAGACATCACTGGAATGACCACAGAATTCTAGGAATGGTGATTCCTCAATTTGAAAAACCTTGTTCGGAAGGACAAGGTGGTTTTGACCTGACTGTTTCTTCCAAGAACAGAACATGTCTTGCTTCACTTTGGTAACAACACTGTCTTCTGCATTGAAACTGTCACTAGATATATCCTGTAACACGACACGCCATATTCTTACAACTCCATCTTCACCTCCAGTTGCAAGATACTGTCCATTGGGACTAAATTTCATAGCCCATATAACGCCTTTGTGAGCTGTAATCTCTTGTCCAACATATAACCCACTCAACTCCGTCCACCTCTTCTTGTTCTGCCTCACTTTTATCCTATGAGTTTTATTTGCCCCTTTTTTGAGTTTTGGTCTGATTTTTTCTCCACCACTTTCTCTCCTCTTGTTCACAAATCTGTTCCACCAGTTCTTCTTGTTCTTCTTCTTCTTTTTATCTATATCTAAATCCCAATGTCCTTCTCGGACCTCGGCTTCTGTGTGTCTGTTTTCATGAACGCTTACATCTACTTCATCTTCAGGAAATATTTTCATTTCATCAAAGAGGATATTTGCTTCAGAAGTTTCTTTCTCAACTATATTTGAGACAGCTCCATTGGCGTCCCTAATTCTCTCTAGTCCCAAGGAGGGTTTTGAAGATATTTCAGATGAACCAGATAAACCCATTCCTTCAAGAAAACGTTGTCGTCTTTCCTTCACACTCTGAGGCTCATTCACCCAAATCTCATAATCCAACTGGTTGGAACCTAAATCAGATTCTTGAGGTGACAGATAATCTGTTGAGTCGAAGAACACATCATCAATATTTCCTCCATCAGAGCTTAGCATATTTAGACTTCCAAACAAATGCCCCACATGAAAATTTCACTTTCTAACACTTCCTTCCCTCAATTATACGAAACCCAGAGGAATACAAAACGTGAAAACGAAGGGCTAGCTTTTCATGTTCTGTGATTGCAACTAATATCTGCACACACAAAGTAATAAATGGCGAAAAAAGTCAGTCTCAAATCAATCCCAAAAGTCAGAGGCCCAAAAAAAAAAAAAGGAGCAAGGTTTTTTTTAAAAGCAATTCGACTTCAGATCACCATAGTGAAGAAAAAACGACAATGTGTAAACAAACAAGAGAATTGATCATAGTCTCTAGACGTCATAGAACTGAATATAGAGTAACAGTTTTACAGGAATAGCATTCTTTGCTTTGGTTTATCAGTATTCATGGATGGAATAGGATACTATGAATTAAAGGTGGCATTAATGATACAGCGAATTCCGTGATCACTGATTAATGATCTTCCCAAAAGCACTAATGACTATTGGAGCTTAAAAACTTGAGGAAAAAAACTAAAGAAAAAAGAAAAAAAAAATGGTTGCCAGCAAAAAGCTCAGAGATAAATATAGATATCATATGTAGGGGTGATGAGTTGATACCCTCCTAGCGAAAGCGATGACTCGTAACTCTGAAGACCTATCACCTGTGAGGCTTCCTTATTTTACAGAAATATATGCAAAAGACCAATGTGAGATTTGAATTCCTCGAGCTTCGTGTTTCAATGGAGTATGTTTTTGTTTCCGCCATTTCTAGCCAGCATAGCAATAGGTTCAGCTATGGCTATCAGGGTATATTAATTATCTACTCAATTAATTAAGAATAATACCCTTCATTTTCATTCTTTTCCCCCCCACTTTTTTGATAAATCGTTTTCATTCTTTTTATACGTCTTAATCTAAATAAGCATAGGGATTTGTGCTGTGGGTGTTGGCACTTAATCATGTACTGTTGACAAAACAGAGGAAGGGTCATTTATTGTGTGTACCTCGTTCGTTTCTGATGTCAATGACATCGAAAGAATCAATCTGTTATCACTTTTTCCCTCCAAAGATTCTCCAAAACCCAATCTTTTTTTTCTGTCTATGAGCAATATAATACCATGAAGTTAAAAACTCATCATGAGATTGATTTGAAACAGCGGGGGATAAGAAGAAGTCTAACCATTGAACTTCAGAGTCTCAGTGAGGCCACGATGGATCTCTCTTTCAAACTTGTAAAGCTCAAGATCTCAAAGACTCCTAGAAGCAATAATCATGAAAAGGGATTTCATAAGAGGGTCGTATAGTTGTGCGAGGCAGAGTTGGTAAGATCGATGAAAGAAATTGAAATAGGGAGAGAAGGAGAGAGAGAGAGATGATAAGATGGATGATAGTTTGAATTAAATTATGAGAACTTAGCATCTATCGAAGCTTCCAAAACCATTTTCAGAGTGATGATTTGACACCAACCATCAGCTCAACTCTCTCATCTATCTATCTATCTGGATCAATCTGCAAATTATCCCATCTATGAATGTGAGCTTTCATCATGTTGATTTGAAATTTGATAACTTTTGTTTTCTTTAATCACAGCAATTAATTAAACATATTCAGAGGATCTGTATGATTTCCAACCAGAGACGCTTTTCTTCATTTGGTTTGTTTATTGGTTTGTCTTAGTGGGAAGGAGCTCTAGCTGGAGCTAACGTGTTAGAATCTCACACTCGTGTGTTAATTCACCCCACATGTTTCATACATACTCGCTACCACATGCTCTTGAACATTAAGTATGTTTACATTCTCTTATATTTTACTAAATTCTACTTCTTTTCCTGTGAAAAATCTACATTCAACTGCATTTTGATGAATTGATTTTTTAAAATATAATATCATTTCTTTTTTAAAAAAATTTTACTAAGGAAAAGCATGGATGCAGTGACAAGATTCTTTTTTTTCTAAAAAAAAAAAAATTGTATGAATAAGTGCTTCCATGAATGAAAGTGCAAAGGTAATGGGAGTTATCTCTTGTGTCGGCATGCAAGACAAATAATGGTCGACTTTTTGATTGATTAGTTTATTAAATATATATATATATATATATATATAAATGTATACATAGTCCCTTCACCAGTGTGTTTATTGTTAAAATATTTGCCATATAATGACACAGGGCGGGAAAACTAGTAAATGAAAGATGAGAAAAAGTTGTTGAGGAGGGAGGGAAAGATCAGAGAAAGCATGCAATGAAATTGATCCGTAGGAGACTAACTAATACATATGAAGTTAAGAGATGAGTTGAAAGGAAGCAGAGACAACAAATTAAGAGGAACATATATATATATATATATATAGAGAGAGAGAGAGAGAGCACTGACCTGAAAGAAGAGGTGGGGGAAGAAGGAGAGAAGAGGAGGACACAGCTCTAAATGAAACCAAAGTTGGGTATTGGATATATAAAAGCATATATGTGGCCAACTATATATGTCTAAGTCTAACACAGAGGGCGAAGACATATATTGGCAATGGCATGATTGATATGTTCTTTTATATATAACCTCTCACTACCCTACTTGGTCTCCATGCTGTCTACGTATATATGTTCAAAACGAGACACAGAAAGAGAAGCTTTTCTCACTTCATTAGACCAAATGGCAGTTATCATCCTATTATAGGCAATTATTTTGAAAGTATTATCAGGTATTAAATGTAAGCATATCTTGTAGTAGATATTCCAATTTTAGTTCATCGTGTTGTAAGGAGACTAACCTTTTCTGCTAATCCTAACTCTTGTTAATTAGTATGAATAAAGTTATTTGTTTACCCAGAATAATGCTTGCCCTACTAAATATAGGACATGGTTAAAGAGTAAATTGTAGTCATAAATATAATACTTTAATTCATTTTATATCTTATATATTATTATTTTTTTAACTAATTTACTCAATTTATAAGCTGATAGATAATATAATATTACACAGAATTGTTTTAGAAAAATTAAGTGACATATGTTATAATTAAATAATATATTTAGCTTCCTTAATCTTTGAAATTAGATTAGAAAAACTATTGTATCAAAGTCCAAAAGAGCACTATATATGTTAAATATATAACATTATTTTGTGGCCGCTGTTATAATAATAATAATATATGAAGAAGCATTTTATAGAGTGAGGGATAGTGAATAATATTATATGAGAAAAGTGTAGAGAGAGAGTGAGAAAGAGTAGTTCCTAATTGTTAGGGACATATCTCCGCTCAATCTTCTCTCGATTTCCTCTCTATGCCCACCAACCTACACTTGTTCCTCTCATTTTATTATCTTCTTTTTTCTTATAATATAGAACCCTAAAGCTGGCCATTCATTTAAACACACACACACACACACACACAAAAACAGAGGGCCTGAGTTGTTTCGAACTCATCAAAATCTTCTACTGATTCTATTTTTTCCTTTCCTGATGCACACCCATAAATGCCTAAAGGTGACCATATATATCCCTTGCGTTCCACGAAACTTCTAAACAAATAATTAACAAATCGCAGCTTCCCGTGCGCATGTACGTATACATTATTTCAACATGGAAAAACACCTTTAAAGGTATCAAACGCATAATAGCTCAAATCCATATATATGTATATATATAGGAACTGCTTGCGTGTATATAACTCTCTTCAAAGTTCCAAAAATTGAATGGGTTTGTGCCAAGTGTTCCCCAGACTATATATAGCGTTTACTTGGTCCACAATTCATATGTATCAAGGTGTGTCTTGGCCATTAATGGCATAACTTTTTAGTTTTTCAATAGCCCATTCAAAAATTCTGCTAATAATGTGGCACACACTATATGGAACCACGCATGTTCATTTGCCTTCAGCTTATATTAATTTCTATCCTTTTTTGTGGTCTTATGTTATTATATAGTTATTATGAGAAGTGATGCTTGTTCTCTCTGTTCCATATATGCAGTTCTGGAGGGCATTAATAAATTAATCAAACTTTTTGGAGAGTGACTAAAACCAAGATTACTAAGCAACAAAACATAGACCAGATCAAAGGGACAGACAAGACATAACAGAAAAGCGAGTCATTATCAAACATTGTACAGAATCAATTTCTTCAGGCTAACCAAATCCAAAGAAGTTTTGTGGGGTCTGTTTTATTGTGTTGTATCTTGCAGCACCAAAGCCAATCAAATCCTTGAAGACCCCACTGATCACATGCCCTCCTCCCTATATAAATAACAACACAAAGAAATACTTATTTTCTGTTAATTTATTTAATTTTCAAACCTTCTGGATCATTATTGCTCCTGATTGATTAGTCTATGATTCCATAGACTGACCTGAAAGATACGAAGATCCCTTTCTGGTTTAGTTAAGATTAATGAATCACTTGAAATCTACTACAACTATGTATACCACATAGAGTGCATGTGAGATCAAATATTTAGCGTACCTAATTGCTGATATATCTGAATAAGTTTTCATCGTTTTTTTGGCCCGTAGGCTTCTTCATTATTAAGATAATGTAAAGATCTCTCTGTGATCTTTTATCTATCTGGTTCACAAAAATCGAAGACTTTAGTGCACCTGCTTTTTCTATTTTTAACTCCACGCACGCTCATTCCTTCTACAGATAAGCTTGTGGTCCATAAATTAAGATCATTAAATTCATATATATATATATATATATATATTCTTATGGCCAGAGATGACTCGTTTGCATGTTGATGTTGCTTACTGAGTCCAAGTCAATCATAGTGGGAATACATATATCTATGTGTCAGCGTGTGATTTGGCAAATGCATGTGTCAGGTGTTTGTTCTATTTTGTAGAAGAAAAAGGAGCCAAAAGTGTATGAGTTTGCGGACTGCGAGCGAGACACATAAGGACTTGAGAGAAAGAAGGGAACACAAAAAATAATTAATTAAAGGATATGGGGGTGCATGGCTCAAAGTTCAAACACATTGCTTGTATTTTATGTGTTTGTGTGTGTGGCTTTAATTTTAATGAAATGTGACCAAAAGGGTTTTCTTTTCTTCACTTGAGAGCAACAACACAGGAAAAGTAGAAGGAGATACAGTTGTGAAACATTGGTTATCAGATGTGATTTGTCTGATACACTCACACACACATGCATATCCTTTTCCATCCATGTCTTAACATGTACGTACTATTTTCTAGCTAGCTAGGATTGAGTGAATTATTTAAAAGATATTTCACAATGGCAAGTTTCTAAGTTGTCCTGTGAAGCGGTTTAGGTAAAAAGGGGATAATAGAGGGAAGACTTGGGAATGAAAAAGGGAGCGTGGCAGCCTAGTGATCAAGGGAAGGGAGGGGCCATATTTGCCACAAGATGAAGATGAAGGCAATGATGGGTGGGTCATCAGTCAAAATTAACATTTTGTTAAATGCTTCCTGGGTTTATTATTATTATTTTGTGGGAAAATTACATTATTGGTTGTGGTGATGATATGTATATGACCCACAAAATGGCTTTTGCTGAGAGGGAGGGGAACACTTGTTGCTTTCTGTCTCTTCATTATACAAACTCATCATTCCCGCTAATTAATTAGCTCCTGTCTTCTTCTCACTACTTTGTTCCCATTCATGCACATATATCACTCCCGATCCCCAAAATATTTGACCCCTTCAACTTAATTAATTACACTGTGTTCTTATTTATAAGTCACTGGTACTTTAAGTGTGTAAATTAAAAAATATATTAAATTGATAATTTTTTTCACCTTTTACCTCTTATTAAAGAAAGGGTATTAAAAAATATGTTCTGTATTTTCTCTCACCTATTTTAGTCAATAAGGATTAAATTAAAAAAAGGCTCATTAATTATCCTAGAAGTGATTCATATTTAGAAATAAACTTTTTCCCTACAAGTAGATGTGGTAAAACAGCTTGACTTGCCTATTACGAGCCAACCCGTTGCAGGCTCGAGACTATACAGGCCGGTCTTAAAAAAAAGGCCTCTTGGCAGGCTCACATTTTGCTAGCCCACCCTGCCAAGGGGCAGCCTGCCAACCTTTATTTTTTAAAAAAAAATTTTCTTACACATATTTAAAGTTTTTAAATTAAATTATAAGTTTTTATATATCAAATTCTTCTTATTGTTATATTTTCATATAATTATATAATTAAATTAATCTTAAAAGTTGAAATATAAACATATAATTCATTGTTAATAATTATTTTATTAGTATAAAAATAGTAAAACAATAAAAAAAAAAGAGAAATCAAATTTAAAATCAAAGTTTTTAACAAAACACAAAGTTATATATAAGTTACGTGAAAATAATAAAACCTTTTCCTAATAAAATTAAAATAAAAATTGTAAAAAAATAAAAGACGAACTAGCGGGCTGTGGATTAGCAAGTGTGGGCTGAAAAGAAACGCATCAAAATAGTTTTCATTTTCTTCAATCAAATCCGCTACCTTATGGCAGGTTGATGGGTTGAGCCTACACGCTCAACCCATATTATTGGTCCTATCTACAAGTGACTTATAAATAATAACATAATAGTATACATTTGTGTCATGTTTGGTGCCAAAGAATTCTCAATATGAAAAAGGAAATTGAACGAGGGAATATTTAACTTCGTATGTTTGGTACGTCTCTATTCTCTATCAAAAGGGGAAGAAGCCTATTATTAATATATTCCTATTTAATTTGCACCATGTTGGAGCCCATGCCTAAGGCCTTAATTAAGAAACAGAACTCATTGAAATTAATTATAGAAATGTATGGTAGAAAGTGGGAGACTAATTCAGCCAAAACCACTAATGAAAAAGTGGGGGAAAATGGTTGCTTGAATAATAAATTGACCCCTAAATTTATGGGACTGAGTGAGGATTTGTCCAAGTTGGTCTATAAATAGAGTACATGACTCTTACTAATCACACACATCATCTCTCGTTAATCAGACAACCTTTCAACAACGTCGTCCAAGCTTTCTACGAGCTCTTTGCCATTTAGTCCTCCATTATTCTTTCCACAACATTACTATTCACAAATCCTACATTATTGATCACAAATTCTATGTTTATACATATATGGTTTTGTTCTCATTAAACTTCATTTTTTCCAAGATCTTACTGTTCATTCTCACTTTAAATTACATTTTTCTGTTTGCATGTTGAAAAAAATTTATGATAAAAAACCCCCCCAAAAAACTCACTCATTATTTGTCTAAAAGTCAAGTTTAACTTTAAATCCTTCAATTTTTGGTATGCCCAACTCTTGCTGTAGTTTTTATCAGATGAGAAATTTTTAAACCCATTATGAAGAATCCAAAAAATGAGTAATATTTTTCGTTACTCACAAAATATGACGACTTATTACACACACACACCCACAAATACACACAATCTACGGCTCGTGAATAATCTGATTTGTAATTTATATTA